ATATGCAAAATGGAACAACCCTCATCTCGAAAATTAAACTATGAAGATTATTTATCTCCATTTAACTGCCATTTAAGTAATATTCTTGCCACAGATTTTCTTACTAAAATAGATCACCTTCAGTATGTACAAAGTCATTGGGGAAGTTATCAAAAATTATATACAGATGGTTCAAAAATGGACGGCAAAGTTGGATATGCTATATTCTACCCCCAAAAAAGTATAAAGATAAACAACAGATTACCCGACAAAATGACAACTTTTACAGCTGAACTCATAGCAGTCAAAGAAGCCTACAAAATATGTATGAATCAAAAAGAACTAAACTATGTTATATTTACAGACTGCCAAAGCATTGTACATAAACTGAAATATAATTTTCATACTTTTGTAGACAATTATATCATCAGTGACATTATAGCACTGAACAGTGAAGCTTTGAAATCGGGCAAAAATATCATATTGTGCTGGATAAAAGCACATATTGGTATAAAAAACAACGAAATAGTAGATGATCTGGCAAAAAAAGCAACAATGAAAGAATCCACTCTTCAAACCTATCAACTTCCTATGGGAGATTTAATATCTGTAATCAGGTCTCTTAAACGGACCAAATGGCAGGGACACTACAACAATTCGGACAAAGGCAAATTTTATAAAATAATCCAACCCAAAATTTCCGTCAAGACATGGTTTAAACAAGTTTCCAACAGAGGCTTCATCAAAACTATTTGTAGAATAAGAAGCAATCATTGTATGACTCCAGTCTACAAAAGAAAAATGGGACTGGCAAATAATAATGAATGTATATGTGGAGAGCTAGCTGATCTACAACATATGCTCTTAGAATGTCCTTTACATTTTATTGAAATATCAAATTTTTTTACCAAGCTAGTTCAAGTTAATGTTCAATTACCTTCTAATCTAACACATCTTTTAGAGTCAAAAAATCTAGATGTATATAAAATTTTATATAGTCATATTAATTGTTTAAAATTAAAGCTCTGATAAAAAAAATAATAAAGAATAAAAAAAATGAAGAACAAAATAAAAAAAATACTAAGAAGATCTAAACCTCCGAGGTGTCGAATCGGGTTTATGTCTTAGCGTAGTAATAAAAAAAATAAATAAAAAAAAAATAAAAAAAATAAATAAAAAAATAAATAAAAAAAAATAAATAAAAAAAAATAAAAAATAAAAAAAAAGATAAGAAAAAACAAAAAACAAAACAGCAAAATCAGAGTAATCTAGTAAATAAGTTTCTAACATTCCATGTTTTAACTGTCAATACAATTCAATAGTTCTAAATGTAAATACTAACAATATCTTATGTAAAGAGAGAACTTAAAACAAATTGACTGGCCAGTTGGTTGTCAAAACCAGTGCCAATAAAACACACACACACACACACACAGTTTTTTTTTATTTTAGTTGTTTATTGAGTGGCAAGACCACCTCTCTGGAACGGTGATTAAGGTTTTAGCCGAAATATGGTTAACACTGGAGTCTTCTAGCCTAGTATCCTGCTCGACCGAAATATGCCAGGATGTCTTGTTCCGTGATGTAGATGTCCAAAAAAGATTTCCCCCACTGTTGTCTGTCATAATTCAATAGGTACCTTCTTAGGCTCTTAAGTACTGGAATCTGGCAATACGGCAATTTAAAAAAATCTTCAAAAAATCATTTTTAAGTAATAGCATTACATATATTTATTTAGGGGAGGTGCCCAATTATTTGAGATGAATAGCTTTTTTAATTGCAGTCACAATCAGCTTGGTTAGCTGGGTTATTGGACATTTTTATTCAAAACTTTTTTGTCTTTCACAATTTCATACTTTTCACATAAACATTATCAGTTATATAAAAAAATAGTGCTCTTATCTGAAGTCCCTATGACATACCAGTTTCAAGATGGAAATAAACAAAATAACAATTGTATTAACATCAAACTCTTGCACAAAGACGGTTTCTAACTAATAACTTGACTTAAAAAATAAATTGTAGTCAAAATAAACTTTTTATTACATAAAATATTCCAGTAGTCAGAGACGAAAATGCCACTGAACCTGTAAAAATCATATGAACAAGCTAAATTTTGCCGAGAATATTAATTTTGGGACGCCAAAAGTTGACCACTTTTACCTCCGGGCTTACTTACCTTCTACCAAGAATCTGTACACCATAGAAAAAAATATTTCAAATAAAAAATGTAGCTGAGATAATTTTGAACAAAAATGTTTATTAGCACTTTTTGTGTGGAATGAACCGTTCTCTCAGAAATAACGCTTGAAGCGATCGGTGATTGGAATGTCAGTTACGCGCGCGAAATCAATATTAAATGACATTTGTATCAGCTCGGCGGTAAAAATTCGATATCTTTTGAGTCAAGTGACCTATTGACAAAAATCAAGATGCGTTTTAAAGGTAAAGTGGTCAGCTTTAGTATGCAGTTTTTGTATTTTGGCACAAATAACTCAGATTACATACAGGTGTTAAATAAATAAACATGGCGCGATTTTTGCCATGTTTTATGATTCTCACGAGATCAATACAATTTATCCCTTTCATTGACTGGCCACTATGAAGTTTCGATTAATAGAGCCTAACCATTAAAACCTACAGCATGAAATTTTAGTTTTGAGTTTTGGCAACAAATGTGAGGCATTTGAAATATGCTTAAAAAACGATGAAGTTAAACTTTCACACAACAAATGTTCTAAAACATTTAAACTTTTTTTTTAATTACACCAGTACGTTTGTCAAAAGGGACAAAACTGCAATAACCTACACCCAAAACCGTCTTCTTATATGCATTTCCTGTGACGTGTGATCGTTTGTAATGTAAAACATCAAATTATGCGTTTTTTATTCATATTTCAAATGCCTCATATTTGTTACTACAACTCAAAATTGAAATTTCATGTTATAGGTTTTAAAGATTGATATCTAAAAATGGAAATTTTACAAATGGTCAATGAAAGTGATCAATTTTATTGATCTCACAAGAATGGTAAAAACGGCAAAAATCGCGCCACGTTAATTTATTTAACGCCTTTATAAAAACTGATTTATTCTCGGCAAAATACAAAAACTGCATACGAAAGCTGTAGTCTTTGCATTTAAAACGCATCTTGATTTTTGTTGATAGGACATTTAGATCAAAAGATATCGAATACCTTAGAGCCGATACAAATTTTATTGACCATTGATTTCACACGCTTAACTGACATGCAAAATAGACAGTCGCTTCAAGCATTGTTTCTAAGAGAACGATTTCTTCTTTTTCTAATGCGCTGTAACCCTTTGTGAGTCTTGGCCTGCTTAACTGTTCTTCCATTCTGCCCTGTCGGATACTTTCCTTCGCCACTGCCTGATGTTCATGGTTTTAAGATCCTTCTCTATGTCGTCTATCCATATTTTATGGAGCCTTCCTCTTGTTCTGTTTCCTTCCATCTTTGGACTACTTTTACAGCTCAATTACCTGGCATTCTTTCTAGGTGACCAAGAGAATGGTTTACTCTACACAAAAAATGCTTATCAACATTTTTATTTAAAATTATCTCAGCTACATTTTTTATTAAAAACATTTTTCTCTATGGTATACAGATTCTTGGTAAATCGATTTTTTTTGCGTTTTCCCCCTTCTTCAGGGGGTTTTAGGGGAGTCTGGGGTAATAGTGGTAAACTTTTTTGCATCTTTTTGGGGTCCCACAATTAATATTCTCTGCAAAATTCAGCTTGTTCATATGATTTTTGGGAGTCAATTCTCTGACGACTGGACTAAAATTGTAGATGATGCAAGTAATAGTAAAAAAATATACAAAATGAGAATTGGAAGCATAAAGCACAAAACTAATTCTATAACAGATGCTAAACATGACTGCGATCCACTTCTATACACAAATTTAATAGCATATGTAAAGATTGCCAAATTCTTGCAAAAATTCCTTATTATAATTATCATCTGTGACCACTGACAGCCCATGGAGGGCCATGGTCGCTGGTTAAGGTTCCTAGGCTCTAAAGGCTGGAGGCCAGCCACAAGCAAAAAATTTCCTAAGTATATGGTTCATAATTTCTCACAGTCATGCTGAATGTTAGAATGATCACATGTTTATGCAATAAACTATTGAGTTTGGATATCCACAAATATCTATAATAATAAATAAAATTTACCTAAATGATCTGCCTTATTGGTCTTTCAAATTTACTATAAATAGTTTCTATTGAAAATTGTCCAAATGGCGAGTTCACAACACTATACCATTGTCCTTTCTAAATATATCATAAGTAATACAGTAAAGCAAAAACTTCACAAAAAAAAACTTAAGTTCACTTACCTTTTAAAAAATGCACTAATGCTCAAGCTATAAAATTGGCACATCTAAATATCTTGTACTGTTTTAAAACTTATTGGTAAATGAAAATCTTTATTGATTCATATAGGTGTGAATGTAATGATTATATCTTTACTAATTTATTTTTTTTTAATATCAAGGATCACATTTAGAAACATTAAATTTTGATAATTCAAAACTGTTTCTGTAACCAATTAAAAATTTTATAATTTCAATTTAGGTAAGATTTATATTTTTGTTTGATTCAAAATTATATGCATACTTCTAGTTCTCTCCAGGTAAATTGTATATTAAATCAAAATTATTGCCAGCTTATTCTTTTTTATAACAAATAAATCAAGGTTCAAAGTAACATTTATAATGTATACAATTAATGTTTACAAAATAATAAAAATATCACTAAGTGTGTACATACAATGGTTGAGATACACAATGTAGACTCTGCTTAAATTTTATATGAAACAATGCAAATACTGGTATCAAGTGGCTTGTTTACCAGTTGTTGACCTAACTTATCAATATTTCTCACTGACTAATTAGTGCTTTGAGATCATGTCTGTTGTTAGCACTTAATGGTGTTAATGAAGCAATTTTAGAATTAGTCAAAATGAGAAGAAAGTGTAAAAAATAAAGTTATGTTACCTGCTAGATGTCCCCAAGGCACAGGTATACTGATTTCTCCAATTCTCTTCATATTCGTCGTCATTTTACTATTATTGAAAATACTAAATTTTTAGTAGAATATCACAAAGCAATTTAGTTGCTAAATTAATTGATTATATTTTTTTATCTCTTTCAGTTCAGGGTTAAGTACCATCTACTTGATTTTACAATTTGAGGTAGTGGTAATAAAGTGTAAAGGTCACTTATTTCTATTTTATACATATATTCTATATGAACAAATAATAACAACTACAAATTACATCAAAATCCTTAATAAAGTTAGGTTATATTGTTTAAATTATTTTCACATTTGATGACTTGATTGACATTTAAGGAGCAGATTTTTCTGTCAATATTCTGATGACAGCAATTGGACAAATATATCTCTGCTCCATATAATAATAATAATTTTAAATTCATTATTAAAATTCAAAATTTTGAAATTACAAATTTAAGTTCAATATAATCTAAACTTCTTAATATTAATTAAATCTTCAAAATAAAACACAGGATAGGCAATTCTACAAAAATTTTTAACCTTGACATAATTTTTGACTTACAGTCTGACATGTTTGTCACGTTTCCAATTGTCAAAATATATTGCTTAGTTATTCGATTTTTAATATTTCCTAAATCTAAGAATGTTCTAATTTTTCAAAATGGGTAATGCAGGCAGTAGTGGACCTCCGCGAGATCGGCAAAAATCAGGTGAAGTAGTCCCTGCGTCACCAACGAAAGAAGGACAAGCATTTACATTCGACAAGAAGCCTGAAAATAAACTTCAAATTCAAAGTTCACAGGACGAAGAGGAGCCCTATTTTACAAAGCCTGCTTCGAGTTATGATCAACCTCGACCCAGAGCTAATACAGGTTTGTTTATGCTAGTATTGAATTACTAGAATTACCTCACAACTTTTTTTATTGCAGTATCTGAAGGAACACAACCAGTGCGAAATGCATCTAAGACACCCACTGTTTTCAGATGGGAAGGAGGAGGTAAGGACGTATGTATCTGTGGTACCTTTTCCAACTGGGAGACTATTCCCATGGTAAAAAGTTACGGAGACTTTGTGGCCATAGTCGACCTTCCAGAAGGTGAACACCAGTACAAATTTTATGTGGATGGAGAATGGAAGAATGACCCCAGTAATAAAATTGTCGAAGATGATGGCGGAGCTAAGAACAATCTTATTGTTGTAAAGAAATCAGATTTTGAGGTGTGTATTATCAATTCTTACTGTTATTACATACATTGATTTGGGAGCTAATGGGTTATATACTAAACTTTTAATATAGCTATATAATAGAATACTCTTATATGATGTTTTTGAATGGTTATTAATAGATTAGGCATCAATTTAAGTAGTTGTATCCAATAATCAAGAACTTTAACTCACTTTTTCCTTTTTAGTTTCTCTTTTGGTGATAATTTCTCTTTTCAGTGTTTAGCTACTAATTTCTATATGGTGTATCCATTAGCAGAATTAATTTACAATCATTTGAATGACTACATAATTAAATTCTAATTAAGATCTTTTCAAGAATTCTAGTTTGCAGTTACAATTCTTTTGATGTATTTCTTAATTTTTAAAACTAGAAATAGATTCTTTATAACTCATTATAAAAATTTTTATTCTGTAGTAATTATCTTCTAGTATAGGATATCATGAATTGACATTTTTTATGACTACAGTTTTCTAGGATAATTATAATTCCTTCACATTTGCTGAGAGTAAAGCATTGATAATTGAAAAGATGTGGTTGATGTACCTTGAATGAGAATGTTCTAATCTTTTCATCTTTCAAAGCTCCAACCCTGAATTTGAAACTTAAAATTGTTTCTTTTAAAGATGTGTTTACATTATTTTTTCCAACAAAAGGCCTCTATTAATAAAAGAAGACTATAGATTAAATAAAAATGGTGTGTGTGAAGGGTAATAAATCAACTCTACACTGTGGGTTTAGTATTATTTATTTATTCATTATTTTTTTATTTTTTGTTTTTCATACAGGTCAGTTGAGCAAATAAAAAATTATCTAGATTTTGCAATAAATTTAGTCATGTAGAGTTCCTAATAAACATAATCTAACAACTAGTGTGCTGTATGTGTTACACCATACCCTTAATGTTCTAAATGAATTCATTACTTTTATTATGTATATGGATTGAAATAAACTTTTGTTTCATAATTAGGTCTTTCAAGCATTAGCGAAAGATAGTGAAAATGCAAAAGATGATTCACAGAAGGAATTTGGACAGGATATACCACCGAACAAGCCTTGGGAAAAAACAAGTGGTCCACCTATATTACCACCACATCTTTTGCAGGTTATCCTAAATAAGGACACACCATTATCAGTAAGTATTTGTGAATACACATGTTAAAAACTTTGAATATTTTTTATATGCATTATCAATGACAAAATTGTTATAATAAAGAAATACCAATTTATGATAATATTCATAACTAATCTAGCAATCTGAAGCTACAAAAATATTTACAAGCCGTAAACTGATTACAAAAGATAAAAATATAATCACCAACATTTTGATACAAGGCTTATTTTTTATATTCCAACTCTTTCCAATGCAATATTATAGAATAAATTGTGGAACAAAATTCTTTGGCATTTTTCTATTACCTCATCCATCTTTTGTACACAGATAAAAGATATGTAATATGTTCATATTAGGTGTTGTTTGGGTGTTTTTCTATTATGTATTATAACAATGAGGTTGTATGTAGTAGTATGATTATTTAGTTAGGGCAACTGTGCTAGAGGTGTGCTTATTAGTTCTTTTAGACGAACTAGTTCAAGAGAACTATTCCACAAAAATGAACTAGTTCGCGAAAAAACTATTATTTGTAGGACCGAAATCGAAATCTAACCCTAACATAACTGGTTGCCAGATGTCTCGTCTCAATCATCACACAAGCTCGGCGCGGGCCGCCCGTTTTCTTCGGTTTTCAGTCAGTCTTTCACTACTGTATGGGGTACAAGTAGTTCGGATTCAGAACCTTTTTTTTCGATCATATGTTTAGGTTTAAATTATTATATGATTACGATTAGTTAGTTTTTTTATAATAATTTATTTTCTTAATCAATCCCTAAAAATGAGTAACAGACGAAATAGAAGTTTTTTATGGGATCATTTCGAGAAAAACGATAAAAATCAAAAATCTGCAAAATGTAATTTCTGCTCATTACATCTGTAATGTGATATTAGTATTAAAAGTGGTCCACTGGGCAATTTATCAAGACATTTTAGAATGAAACACCCTGCTATCAATCTCAAATATCTCAATGTTGAAAGATACATAGAAAAAGGGCCCGAAAAATCAGAAAATACAATTCAAGAACCTCAACCTTCAACGTTAAAATCAGTTTCGTTAGTAGGACAAGCAGGGGAAGATAAAGAGAAAGCAGTTATAATTCTTAAGAAAAAGCCTGCTCCTACTCCCCTTGTTTCTATCAGGGACTATGTAATTCGACCCGTTCCATTCTAAATATATGATCTCATTCATTCATTATTTTCTTCTTTAGAAGTTGAGACACAATTTATAATGCAAATCGTTCACAGATTATAATGCAAATCGTTCTCAAATGTGCGTTAAGTGGTTTTTAGCTTGAATTGATGGTCAAATTGCATAATTGCAAGTTGAATATTCACAGATTGTGAGTTAAAATACCAACTGTATCACTATTTTAAATACTCATATGACTTAAATCATTTTTCCATAATTTAAATAACAATATGATCTTCCATGTGATTAGGATAACTCACTAATTAGGGATTTAGAAGTTTTTTTTTCAAAGCTGTATTATTTAAATTTATATATTATTCTTTTTTATATTATATTATTCTATTATATATATTATTCTATTTATATATAAATTCTTTTTAGTGTGAACCTACTCTTCTTCCGGAACCTAACCACGTCATGTTAAATCATTTGTATGCACTATCTATAAAGGACGGAGTGATGGTACTAAGTGCTACTCATAGATACAGAAAAAAATATGTTACCACTTTATTATACAAACCTATTTAATGGGATTTAATCTATTTTGTACATAATGTAGATGGTATTTTAACTGTGACTTATTTGAAATCTTGGTATCTAGCTGTTTTAGGGAATCTTTCTTTTTTTGTAGATACAAGGCTTTCAATTTTTGTATATTATTGAGATAAGTATTAAAACATTTAATTTTATTTAAATTTAAAAACTATACATTTATTTTTTATTCACCCTACTTTCCTTTTCCTTGTAAGGTAATGTTAAGTTGTAAACCATATGAAGCAGTGAATGAACTTTCAACAAAATAAGACTTATAGGAGGCGATTTTTCGCAAGGCTGTGAAATTTGTGTGAGGTTTTGATAGGAAAATATTCTGGCATGTCTTCCTTTCAATATTGCACTCCAGAAGACTTCAAGATATGCCAAGATACACAATAGGGGAATACTAGATAGATTGGGTCGGTTCTGAGCCACTTTTAAAAATGGTGACCTTCAGAATGCAATATCACGTTTATATTATATTTTAAATGGAAAATACATAAAAATAAATGTTAAGCAATTAATAAAAAGCATTGTTCTTTAATCAGAAACTGAAGCAGAATTTATTGATATACATTTCAGGTTTGTAGATGTCCTACCCTCTTCCTACACTAGTGCCACCAATGTTTATGCAAAAGGCACAATTTTTGGTCTTGATGCCATGCTAGTGCCTAAAGTTCATTGCTATTTGAAGTTGTTGAGAGCATAGATCTGGATAATTCTAGGATTATACTTCTTATTTAGATTAATAATAACACTGACTATTCTGTTGTTTCTATTTTATATTTCCACGTGTTTAAAAGATCTTTTGAATGATTTATATCTTATTTATTTAAAAATTACGCTTTTATTATAATAAAAATTTGATAATTTAATAATTTTTTTAATATTGTATTGTAAAATCCATTAAAAAATAACATCACTGGATTTTTTACATATATTTATTTGATTTGGAAGATTTACATATTTTGTACTGAACATTAACTGTGAGCTTTAGATTTAAGATGTGTCAAAAGCGAAACTTTCTGGGCAAATCCTTTACTACAATATTCACAGATAAAAGGCTTTTCATTGGTATGCTGCCGAATATGCAGTTTGAGAGCATAGGTGCTTGTTAAACCTTTATTGCAATGTGGACAAATAAAAGGACGTTCTCCTGTATGAGTCAAAAGATGCCTCTGAAGATCTCTTACGTATTTTCCACATACTGTACACATCTTTTTACGAACGTTGGGATCTAAAACACAAACAAGAAAATATTCAGTTTTGAATGAACAAAAATTATTCAAGAAGGTATCAACAATGAAAATAAACAAAATGTTTCATCTTTCTATCAAGGACTACATTTTTTCCAGTGCTACTTTGCTTTCAACACTTTAGAGAGATTATTTCTTTCTTGTGTTCGATCTGTATTCGTTAGTTGCTTTTCTCTAGAAAGAGATATAAAAATAGGTAGGCATTAATGGGAAGATCTTTGTTTTTGGCTCTTGTCCCTTCAAGGAATGGAATGTGATTTCGGGCAGTGTATTATAATCGGGACATAAGGGATTCGGATAAGGAAACCCTGCCTCAAAGCTCAAAATATCCAAATGGTTGTTGGATGCTGTGTATTTGTGCGTTGAAGTGTCTTGAAAGACTACTTTTTTTGTATATTATAAAAGGTTTCTAAAGAAGCACAGGTTTGTAGATTAAAGAAATAGCAAGAGAGTCTGATGTAAAGTCGGAAAAGCAACTCTAATGACCTAAAACCCGCCAAGATTTATACTTTTGTGATAGGCGATCATATAGTAGGGGGAGGCAGATTTTCTTTGTTTCTGATTGGCCAATTCACTTGCCACACCTATTTTATCTTTGCTTTATCTGTGTTTCATTTTTGACTATGTTGATTCCTGAATGTTGCAGAAGGGAGACTTGGAAAATCCCCAATTTTTATCAACTTTTTAGCATTAGATTTATGCTACTTTATTTTACTTAGTCTTATATATTGTGTTTACTTTATTTTTATATCAGCGTATATACGATAATCTTTTTCTACCTATTTTATCATTTAGGTTCTTAGGTGTTTGAGAAGCAGTGTCTAGAGGCTGGGTGTTTAGGTGATGGAAATGATGAGATTAGTAACCAGTTTGGATAAATCTTTGATTTATGGTATAATTCTATATCGACATTGATAGGGAAGACATTGAAAATGATCATCCTCAGCACTTTGGATAGGAAGGGGCCTTTGCTTTAGGATATGCGCAGGATTTATGTTTTTGTCCGCAGTTGATATATATAGTTTTTTTGGGGATATTCTGTGTTAAGATGTCCGCTTTAGCAACATCTTGAACAATATTTCAGATGCAAAGGGATAACATTGTTATTCCTTTGCGTCCTAAATAAAACTAAATGCTATACCTATAGGGTAGTTATGGTGAAGTAGTAGGTTCATGGGGCCTGGGTAAGCGAAATGAGAGAGGAGAACGCCTACTCACATTTGCTACGGAAGAAGAGTTGTTAATCACCAATATACTCTTCAAATTACCATACAGAAGGTTGTACACATGGCGTTCACTCGGTGACAAGCCAGAAAATCTCATAAGAAACAGATTGACTATATTTTAATAAATAAAAGATTCAAAAACTCAATAACATCAGTGAAAACCTACCCTGGTACAGATATTAAGTCAGACCATAACCCACTTGTCGCTAAGTTTCGTCTGAAATTTAAAAAAAATCAACAAACCTAATCCTATAAGATACGATCTCAAACAACTAAGAGATGATGACATAAAGCAAGAAGTACGGGAATATCTGAAGAACAACATATCTAAGTCAGAAGTAGTTAATGATGTTGACACAGAAATAAACCACTTAGAAAACATTGGGAAGGAATATTAGACCAATACCTGCGACCGAAAAAGACAGAAAAGAAAAAACCATGGATGACCGACGGTATATTACAGATGATGGACAGAAGAAGAGAATCCATGCGGAAAGACTACGTTGCATATCAATTTCTAGACAAAGAGATAAAAAAAGCTGTCAGAGAAGCTAAAAATAGAAATCTGGAAGAACAGTGTGAAGAAATCGAGATATTGGAACGTAAACACGATTCCTTCAACCTCCACAAAATGATCAAAGAAGCAGCAGGCATATATAAATCAAAAAGGCCGGTATACTTAACAGACGCTCAAGGAAATTAAATAGTTGATATTGAAGACACAAAAACAATATGGATGAACTATGTGACAACAACATTTGAAGACGATAGGAATGTCACCATCACACAAAATACCGCACCAACTATTCTCGAAGCGGAAGTAGAAGCTGCTATAAACAACATTAAGGAGAGAAAAGCCGCAGGAGCAGACGAGTTCTACTCAGAATTTTTGAAAATTATGGATAAAGACGAAGTAAAGACTTACCTTGATCTTCAACAATATATACCAAATTGGAAAAATACCCCAACAGTGGCTAAGATCAACTTTTATAACAATCCCTAAAAAACTCAATGCCAAAAAATGTGAAGATTATCGAATAATAAGCCTTATGAGCAATCTCCTGAAAACATTTTTAAAAATTATACATAAAAGAATATAGTGAAGAACACATGACAAACACACAATTGGGCTTCAGGGATGTATTGGGTACTCGAGAGGCACTTTTTGCAATACAAGTTCTCTTTCAAAGATATAGAGACGTGAATTGTGATATATGTGTGTGTTTTGTTGATTACCAGAAAGCGTTCGATAGAATAAAACATGACGAACTGATAAAAATATTAAATTCAATTGGTCTAGACAGCAGAGATCGCCGTATAATAAACAATATCTATTACGAACAAACTGCAGCTGTTATGAGTTGGGGATCAGTTAAGAGACGACATAAAGATAAAAAGAGGTGTGCGACAGGGATATTATTGTCCCCATTATTGTTCAATACATATTCAGAGCACATTATGAACCTAGCGCTAACTGACATAGACAGGGGAATACTTCTAAACGGAGAACGATTGAACGAAATAAGACACGCTGTTGATACTGTCATTTTTGTAGACAGTCTTGAAGGTCTGCAGACACTTGTCTCCAGGGTGACAGAAGTAAGTAGCAGGTTTGGGCTTGATTTTAACATAAAAAAAACCAAATACATGGTTATAAGCAAAAATAGGATACCACCTGGTCAATTACTAGTTAACCAACCACACTACTATAACACAAATCACCAACTTTTCTGGGTGCAAACTTAAATGAACAGTGGGACCAATCGACGGAAATTAAGATAAGGATCGAGAAGGAAAGATCAGCTTTCGTCAAAATGAAAAAAATCAGCCTCGATATAAAATTGGAAATAAAAGTTCGTTTACTAAAATGCTACATATTCTCCGTTTTTTTATATGGCGTGGAGTCATGGACCTTAACTGAAGCATCACTGAAGAGACCGCATTTGAGATATGGTGCTATATCATAGACGCATGTTGAGGATTTCCTGGATAGACAGAGTTACCAACGAAGAAGTACTACATAGAATGGGTAAAGAGCGCGAAGTATAATACCTGGGCTACATAATGCGCAATAAATAACGGACCTACTTCGAACCATACTTCAAGGTAAAGTGCATGTGAAAAGAGGTCCAGGATGAAGAAAAATATCCTGGCTGCATAACCTGCGAAAATGGTGTAACTTAACCACTACCTGACTTTTCAGGGCAGCAGTCAACAAACTCAGAATAGCCATGTTAGTGTCCAACATCCGTAATGGATAGGCACCATAATAAGAAGAAGATATCCCTATATCGGGTTGCCTTCTCAAAATGCATTGTTTGCGTTTTTATCTTGGCTCATACCAATATCAATCTCCTTTACTGACATGTCCAATCTAAGAGTATTCCCCAGGTCTTTGTTGGTCTTCCTTTCCTACTTCCTCCAATAACTTCAAATCAGGAATTCTTCTTATTGGGTGATTAGTGTCTTGATGTTTATTCACTTAAGTAAAGCATACACATCCTTTTTATCCAAACCCAAGATGCAAACTTTACACTGCATGCGTTTAATATCTTCTTGTTAAGTTTTTGTTCAAACTGTTTTTGATTTTAATTGTTAGTTCATATTTTTTCATTATATGAGATTATACTAAACATATTTCACATATTAAAAAGATCTAGCAGTGATGACAACAATAAAAATATTGGTCCTGACAAAATGGTTAGCTATAATATATTTTTCATATATTGTTCTCTAAAATTGTATAATGCTAAACATAACAGTAAAAAACTCACCTGTATGTTTTTTCAAATGCCTATGATATTCAGATTTCAGTGTAAATGTTTTATCACACTGTTCACATTCAAATGAAGTACCTTTATGAATTAATAAATGACCTCTTAAAGATTCTGAATTCTTTAACACTTTCATACAAATTTTGCATGTAACGGGATCTTCTGAATGTCTTTGAACATGTTTCTTCAAGTTGTCTGCTCGGAGAACAACACCGCATATGTTACAAATTCCAGGAGCAGTATGTACATTTCGTTTATGATTTGATAGTTCATTTTGAGAGGTAAATGTTACATTACATTCAACACAGTCTAACCGTTTTGATTTTTTAAGTCTATGACATATTTTATTGTGTTTATATAGGTCTATTTTAGTGTCAAATAGTAATGAACATTCCTTACAATTCAAATCAACATCAGGTACTTCTAATTCTTCTTTAAATGTTTGCTCATGATCAACATTATCATCTTCGTGAATGTATAACCTCTCTAAAACACTATCTTCTTCGGCAGTTGGCTCTGCTTTAATTTCTCCTCCATTTTCAACTTTTTTTATTAATTTTTTTCTTTTTAATATCCTCTTTCTTGGTTTATCACTGTTTCTTTTCCGTTTTGTACTAATTTTATTTTGTGAATTTGTTATCAATTCACATTTTTCTCTAAGTTCAACATCACTATTGATGATTATTTTTCGAAAGCAATAAAATTTATTGACTTTTTCTATGCAGGCTGCACATATTACTGCAGGATAATTATCAGTATCTAATGATATCTAAAACACAATGTATTATGTTAATTTTCGTTACTAGTACATTAAAATGGATAATACAAATTATAACAAATGCAACCAATAGTGTTGTTTCCCCAGAAGATAAATAAGGTTTAGATCAGATAGGTCAGTGTGGTCCAACCTCAGGCACGCGGGCCTCATGCGGCATGAGGCTCGTAAAACTGCGGCCACCGCAAACACATTTCAAAAATATTGCCATTGATAACTTTTACCTGTTCCAACCCTGTCTAACTTTCCGTAATCTTAAGAAAGTAGTTAATCTTGAACACCCACTCCCGATGAGCGGGCAGTTAACTTCAGTCAGCTGCACGTGTTGTGTTGAATTAACAGTGGCAAATAAATTGAATGTTAAATTCAGAATGAGTAGTGCCAAAAAAACGCAATTTCGAAGAGAATCCGTACGTCCCAAGGAAAATGGGAAAATCGAAGCTTATATTATGGTCTCCCATAACATTCAATTCTAAGAACCATATTATTAAATGTTTATTTTATACTACAAATGCCTAGACTGATAAAATGCAAAATATTCAATAAGGAGGCAATAAATGGTTATACATCAGACATGATCCTACAAATGTTATATGTCTAATGTAAAACTTATAGGTTTTTCTGTATCTCAGAAGAAAAATGTCTATTATATGTTACACAAGACAGACAAATCCCAGACAGGTGATTATACATTTTTCTTAGGAAAAGAGTATAAGTATATGGACAGGATGGGCAATTCTAGAAGAAACTTAAAAATATCTTTTATACATACATAGGCAAATGGCAGTGAACAAAATTCTCCAGTCATTAACAGATCAACCTCAACACTTTCTGACAATCTTAAATATTATGCTTCTTCACCCATTTAATTTTATTTGAAATTCAAATAGAGGTTTTCTAGACAAACTTACAGGTATCTAAGGTATTACATAATTGTAATACAGTCCTACACATACTGTCCAATATTAAAATTAATTTTTTAATGTAAAATATGAAACATTTTCAAGACCTAGTTTATACTTTTAGGAACAATAATATTTTTCATAATTTAGTTTTAAAATAAACAATATTTTATTTAATGATAAATTATATTCTTTACATAGAAATAAGTCATCTTAGTAAAATCTATCCTTCCTGAAGCAAGTAGTGTTCTGGAGTTAAGGATTAAAATCTTTATTTACTTACATTGATTGATGAAATGACTTCAATTTTTGTAATAAGTGTTTCATCATTTCTTAACGGAAAAAGATTGTTTGTGCTGAGGCAAGTTCTACATACGTTATTCATTATTAAACTCTATGAATTGACTTCTTCCTATGTCTTAATCTTATTTTTATTATTTGACTTAAAAATAGATATTTTTTTGAAATGTTTACCAAATTTGACAGTATTCAGATGATTACGATCATTTAAAATAACTGAAAGATGACATTTGAAGGCAATTTTTCGTGACAGAAAATGCATATTATGCCACAGAGTAAAAATAATAATCAGAATACCCTCTCTCAGATGCCGCCTGTGAAGTGTGTCAGCACGCGATCGCCATATTTAAAACAGAACAACAGACTTGGATCACGGTTACTAGAGTTACTACGGTCACAGAATAATAATCAGAATGCCCACTCTTAGATGCCGCCTTTGAAGTTTTTCAGCACGCGCGCCATCTTTTAGAAGGAAACACATAACACAGACATATGATTTGTGAGGTTATGTAATTGTTTATATTTATGTTTAATTATATTTATGTTATTATATTTAACAATGTTAAGCAAGATCTGCATTTCGAAAAATGGCTAAGTTATTCAAATGTCATGATTTATCAATGCCCATAAAAATCAGGTTACTACGATGTTACATTTTTCCTATACTGCTGTACGAAGTTGAGTCATGGACTCTCACAGACGCCACCTGCAAGAAAATTGAGTGTGGCTTTATCGTCGCATCCCGAAGATATCGTGTACCGACCACGTTACTAATGAGGGTGTTCTGTTGAGAATGAAAAAAGAAAAAGAGCTGTTAACCACAATAAAAACAGCCAAAATCGAATACCTCGGTCACATCATGAGGAGCAGCGAAAGATATGGACTACTGCAACTAATCTTGCAGGGAAAAGTAGAAGGAAAACGGGGACCAGGGCCCTGATTCTATTTCATTTCGATGTCGAAATTTAAAAGCGACTACGCCATGACAGTCGCAATCGCTAGCGATTCTCATTCATTTCGATTTTAGTTAAAAGTGGGGACATTTACTTTATCATTTTGACACTGCTCAGAATTTGGGTTGGCCGTCTTGTTTATTGGCTGCACGCTGCACGCTTGTTAAATGTTTGTTTTGTTTACATTTTACGATTTTTGTTTCTTGTTTGAGTTGTTAAATTTTTAGTGGCCATTCTCAATGATTATATTTTGAATTGAAAGAAAATGGATGGAGGCTGTTGGTGATGGTGGCACTAAATTGTCTCTGGACCAAAAAGAAATTATGATGGCTTTTGACTTAGTGGTTATATTATATTTTTAAGTTTACTGCAGCTTAGTATTGGTATTACTAAAAACAATACATTACCGCTCTAAAAATTCTTGATGAGTTTAAAGATTATTTTATATCTCCAAATAAGAGTGTAGAATTAAAATAAATTATTACAACCAAATTGTTTATTATTTCTATCTTCCATTACAGCCTGTTGAATATATTCAAAAATTGTGGTTTCCAATTTAGTTTTAATATTAAGACATTTTATTTCTTTAATTTTTACACCACAGTATATTTTGAAAAATAATCAGTAGCATCTGGCTTGGGGCCCCCAGGTGCCGCAGTTCTATTTTTATAGGTGTTAAAATTTCGACCAATTATGTGCCGAATCACATACAATTTCTGATAAAACGCAGCCATATTAATACTTTTTTCCTCAGTTTTCGTTGCAACAATCAAACAACACCGCCTAAACTGAACCTAACCTCGCTTCTCCCAGTCCCGCTAGTCAGTCATGTCAGATTAATTTCGACTCGAAATTAAATTTCAACCACTTTCTTCAAGTTGAAATTAATTTCGATAAATCGAAATTTAGTGACGTCCTTTGGTTAGTTCAGCTGAAATCCACTAGGCTCGCAAAGTCGCATTTCGACGTCGCCATATTGATTTCAACATGTTTGCAGTCGAAATCTCAATTAGAATCAGGGCCCAGGAAGGCGAAGGATTTCCTGGCTGAAAAATCTACGAACGTGGTTCAAAACAACAACCACAAATCTTTTTAGAGCAGCAGTGTGCAAAGTGCAGATTACCATGATGGCCTCCAACATCCGAAACGGATAGGCACTACAAGAAGAAGAATGTTAATATAATTATATAGTATGTCTATGATTGCCGTAAGTCAATTAAACCAGGTTAATTTTTCTAAGCACACCACATAAACAACACTAGTTCCTTTAAAACATGGCGGAACGTCTGCGCGAACGAGATGCGCGTACTTAATTTTTCATGTAGAGTGGGCATTCTGATTTTTTATTATTCTGTGCTATGGTTGCCTATTCCGACTGCGATGGAGATAGTTAAATCACAGAATAATAAACAATTGTTATTTATTCTGTGGTTAAACGCTTGACTTACGTCACCAGAGTACACAAGAACACAAGCCCATTTATTATATCAACGTTTTAAACGGAACCAGTGCTGTTCAGGGAAATTTTATCTGGTGCGCATAGAAAAATTAACCTGGTTTAATTGATTTACGGCAACCATAAACATAATATGCAATACTTTATGTCGTACTTTTCTACTAATTTCATACTAATCTCTAAAAATTTAAATTATGGTTCGGTCGGTTGAGTTTACCGAAAGTACAAGCTGAATATAGCCGCAAATGTCAAAAACATTTCGGTTTGACAATGTTGGCATGTTTTTATAATGCATACATGCCCCGCGAACTCTAGTAAAAAAAATGTTATTCTATTTAGTTTACTTCCAGGCCGTATGAGGCCGTGCAAAACGTTAATTTATGCATCATAGAACATGACATTTGACAAGCCCTGCACTGTGACCTACCGCGTCCAAAAAGCCAATTCAAAATGAAGCCTTTATAGCGTGTAGCTGTTTACGTGGTATTTGTTTGCGATTATTTTGGTTTTTGCGACTGTTGAAAAAATTATTTTCAATCGTATTTTTCGATATTTTTTTATACCCGATTAAGTGGTGTTTTTGTTTGGTTTGTGTGACCATAAGAATAGTTTATATTCATTCCTATTTTTCCATATTTTTATACACCTGATTAAGTGGTAAGATTTTTTGATTATATTGTAGATTGATTGATTTATCCATGGAACGAGAGTGTTTATCTAACGTGTTTAAAATACACATTATTATTTATTTTTTAGGTAAAATGCCTCCATCAACTGTTGTGTGCAGACATGTTGGAAAAGTACAACAAGTAAACATAGATTTCGGATCCACAAAAGTACGCGGATCTTTTTAATCAATGGGTACATTTAGTGGGTGATAAAAACCTGTTGGATAAAGATCCTCAAAAGGTCTACACAAGTAACAGAGTTTGCTCCATTCATTTCAAAGCAGAAGATTTTGGTCCTAATAATCGACTAAAAACAGGAGTTTTGCCATCCATCAATCTGCCAGGTATATAATTAAGATTTAGATATTGAAAGTTAAGTTAGTACTGCACATATATTTTTGTTGTCATTGTGGAGTTACAGGTTTTTTTTTATTATTGAAACTTTAATATTGATATTGTTTTCACTCACTCAAATTTTTTATTTCAGCCTCTTTGGGTGAGATACATTTACCCCAGACAGAAAGGCCTCTACTAAAGGACATACAAAATGTCATGTCCAGCTGTAGTTTCAGTGTGTCTCCAGGCACAAATTATTTATTAAACATTGATACTTGTCCTGGAACTAGTAATCAAACTCCAAAACGTAAGTATTTCTATATTAGAATTTAATATGATTGTAAACAAAAAAAAACAACCTTGTTAAATGAAATGCATTTATTAAGACATTTTTGTGCAATAAGTTTAAATATTTTTCCATCTTAATGAATCAACAAAGGAGAACGCCTAGACTTTACGAAGAAATAAATATTTTAATGTTTAATGTATCAATATTTGTATATATATATATATAATATATATATATATATATATATATATATATATATATATATATATATATATATATATATATATATATATAATTGGGTGGTGCCGGTAAAATAAATAAATTTTAACAACATAATAATTATTGACGTAAATCTTCATTTTATAATTCAAAATTTACAAACTAAATTTAAACAGTATACTCTGTAAAATGTAACATTATGTAAATAAATAATTAAGAAAGAAAATTTTGTTGTGTTTTATCTTGATTGTTCACTCGATGAAAATATCTATTGGAATAAACGTTCTTGATGTTGATTGGATAGTATGCTCAAGGTGAGTGAGCGGTAAATTTGAAAGACTTACCGTACAGCTTGTCACGCAGGGGAGCTATACTATACTATATATTATATCATCCGCTCTTTATTGGTGAGCCTGCATACACGGAACCATTAGTTCCGTCTATGCAGGCTCATTTATTATTATAGAGAGCGGGTATGATATAATATAGCATAGCTCCCCGTATGTGACAAGCTGTACGGTAAGTCTTTCAAATTTACCGCTCACTCACCTTGAGCATACTATCCAATCAACATCAAGAAGGTTTAAAATTTCACACCTATCATGTAGGAGCTACTATCCAATCAACAACAAGAACGTTTAAAATTTTGCACCTATCATGTGGAAGCCACAGACCAATTATGTGAAGGCCATATTATGGTATACTTCCAGGCCGAGAGGTGGCGCTGAAATACGTGACATATTTTATGAAGAGTAAGATCGCATTCTACCTAACCTTCTTACCTATGAATGCATATTTGTATGCTTCAAATATAAAGAGATAAAGCTTTTAAAAAGTACATTTTGATTATACTATTTTATGAATTCTGCAAGTTTTAATTTATATGAAGCAATAACGAGTAGATATTTGTCTCTTTCGAGATTAATTGCAAACATCTGTTGTAATCTGGCAACTGCTGATTTGACGATTGCCACATCTATTCCCTAGTCTATCAAAAGTTAATTGCTAAAAAAATTTATATAATTAACTGCAATTAATCTCCACAGAAACAAATATTTACTCATTGTTGTTTTATATAAATCAAAAATTGCAGAATTCATAACATAATATAAACAAAATGTACTTTTCTAAAGCTCTATCTTTTTATATTTGAAGCATATAGGATCTACACTATAAAAACATGCCAACACTGCTATACCGAAATTTTTTGTTCCATGTTTGACATTTGCGGCTATAATCAGCTTGTACTTTCGGTAAACTCAA